GGCCTGCGCGTCTGGAGCCTGTGCTCCGCAGCGGGAGAGGCTACAACAGTGAGAGGCCCGCGTGCTGCAAAAAAAAAAAAAAAAAAAAAATGTTCTCCCCTAAGTTGTCCAAACTTCTTTGAACACTTTTAGTTACACTGTGCTCCAGTTTTTAGTGCAGTGTCTTTTAATGTACTCTTCCATTTAAGCCCTAGCCCTCTATCAGTCTTTGAACAGTTTCTCTGAGGAAACTGGAGGTCTTATCATTCTCAAGCTGTTTTTACCTTCACAGCCCTGAACCTTCTTGCTTTTTCTCCTTTTACTTCAATCTTCCTGTTTTTACACTACTGCTTAGCTTTAGAATGTTGATTTCTGCCATCGTGTTACTAAAAGTACTATAATTTATTGGTTCTAATAAATTTGTTCCTTTTTAAAGTCTTTCTGAAGGAATATAAATGCACATGCGCCATCCATGTTGTTTTCCTTATTAGAGCTTAACTCATCCTCATTTCTAATAGGGATACAATTCATTTTTAAATTGTATATATATTCTTTAATAATAAGTAGAGTTCAGTGAACAGAATGCCAAAATGATAACTGCACTTTTCATTAAATAAGCACTCCTTTACGCTCGGGTGCACAAATGGCCACATCTGTGCCAATGCACCATTGGTTTAGGTTTGCTGAAACGCCCGATGGGGATGATGTCTCTCAGGGAAAAGCCACCCATTCAGGGGCTGCTGGATGATGAACAGCCATCACTGATTTGGCTTACAAGTTAGATAATCCAGCCAGTTAGTCTCTCCCGGTATAACAGAGACACAAGAAAGCAGCCCACCATCCAGCTGGTTATCTTTTTGACCTAACTATATTCCTTACAATTAACCTATTCATCAAATGTTACTAGAGTTTGCCAGTATTGAACTTGGTAATAAAAGTCTAATATCTAGGTCATCAAACATCGAATTTTTGCCTTTTTTTAAAACAAGAGGTGTTCCAAATTCATGTGGCTTCTTGGTCAGCAGTACAGTGGCTATACTGTCTGCCCTCTGGCTTCTCCTGTCCATCTCAGCAAGCATCACACCCAGCAAGCATCACACCCAGGGCGGCACTCACCTGGTACATGTGGGCAACATTTGATCCGAGATATTTTGCCCCGTAGAGTTTGCCATCAGGCCACTTGACTTGAACGACTTCTCCCTCGGCAGGAGGGCCTAGCCTCACACAGTCTCGGCTCTGCATAATAAGTAGAGTTAGGCTTTTCAAGGCAAATGTCTAAGTGACTGCATTTAGAATGTAGCAAATGAGCAACTCCTGGCAATTAAAAGGAGTTATTGCCTCTGTGTTTTATGGATTATGATCTTGCATGGGTGTTCAGGGGAAGAGCTATAAGCCAAAGGAGTACTTAAAGATTCAGCCTACATCATAAAGTTACAAAGGAACCACCGTAATCCAAGAAGGAAAAAACAGCATTTACATTTGCTATTTGACAAAGAATTGTTCAGAGGGTACGTAAAATGTGCATAGAAACTGCTCTAGCTGAGAAATAGACTGGCTAATGATTTATAACACCTGACATGTATACAGCATTTTGCAGCTAACAGAAGGCTTCGACATACATCTCGTCTGATCCTCACAATCGTTCCATGAGGTAGGCAGAGACTACTAATTACCCCCATTTTACTGACAAGGAAACTGAGCCTCGGAGGAGGCTCCTTTCAGTTGTCAGGATCTTTGGAGAAGTGAAGCGGTGTAAGAGACAAACAACTGAGGACGCCCAGGTGGACCTGGCGGCAGGAGAGAAGCAGAGTGTCATCAGAGCTGGCAGGCCCGGAAGCAGCAGCAAGGGAAGAATGCAGGAGCCTCCGGAGTGCGGCAGGGGAGGCTGTAAGGCCCGGGTCCTGCTCAGCAGGCCTCTTCTGAAGACCCCTGAACCTTCCCCTACAGGCCTGGTTCTGCCTGCACCTCCCATCCACTGAGTAGTCCACCTCATTCCACAGGTGATGCTGGCAGTGCCACAAGCACTCTTATCACCTCACTTCTTCCACTCAGCACTGCCTCCTCCTCGGGCAGCAACTCAGAACAAATTTCCCACTAGCTCATCCTGGGAAGGTGCTTTTTAGAGGGGGAGGGGTACAGACATACTTTGCAAACTTAAGTTTGTATGTGTTGAGAATGACACAATAAAATTTGAATACAAAGGAATTAAATACTTGACTACTTTGATAAATTTTTTGCACATTTAGCAATTCATGTTTTGCTAACCCTGGTATTTTACTGATGAGGCCAATCTGACTGATTGAAATGCACACTTGACCAGGTAAGCTTTAAATACAGACTGGGCAGGGTTCTGTGGTTTAAATGAGAGGCACACACAGGAAATATTTAGTTGTTTATGATTAGAAATCCACCATGTATTACTTTCCATTATTAACAGAAATTTTGCATCATAAAGGAGTGGGCCTTTTACTGTTGGGTTCAGAGTATACCTGAGAGGCTCATCTTTCTCACAGCAGACTATGCCTCCATTTAAAGCTATGGGCAAAGAAAAAAACGTGTGTGCTCAGAGGCTCTGCAGAGTCGACAGTCTGCATCTAACTTAGTCAAATGAAAATAAGTTTCTTCTTGGCCTTCATAATATTTGATCTCAGGCTACACAGAACTGAAAGAGTAGGACGAAGAACTGTATTCTACATATGCCCCTGGAGTTATCATCTCACTTTTCATTTCCCTTCCCTTTCAAAGATGTACATGGTACTAAGAAGATTGGAAGGTGTCGCTTCTAAATAGATGCTGTCTCCTAGGACAGGAAGCTACATCAGCTCAGGGATAACTCTGAGCTAAAACCCAGATGGTTTGGTGATGGGGGCAAGGAGAGAACAAGAGTAAGTTTCTTCCTTCTCCTAAAGTTTTATTCCATGTGGAGGAAGCTCCATTAAGGTAATACTCCTAGCTTTTCTTTTTTTTCCCACTCCGTCATTCATTCACTTTTTTTTTTTTTTAATTTTCATTGGAGGATACTCGATTTACAATGTTCTGTTAGTTTCAGGTGTACAACAAAGTGAATCAGTTACACATATACATATACCCACTCTTTTTTAGATTCTTTTCCCATATAGGCCATTACTGAGTATTGAGTAGACTTCCCTGTGCTATAGAGTAGGTTCTTATTAGTTATCTACTACATTTTATATATAGTAGTGTGTATATTGTCAATGCCAGTCTCCCAATTTATCCCTCCCCTGCCAAAGCAATCTACAGATTCAACACAATCCCTATCAAATTTCCAATGGCATTTTACACAGAATTACAACAAAAAATTTTACAATTTGTATGGAAACACAAAAGACCACAAATAGCAAAAGCAATCTTGAGAAAGAAAAATGGAGCTGGAGAAATCAGGCTCCCTGACTTCAGACTATACTACAAAGCTACAGCAATCAAGACAGTATGGTACTGGCACAAAAACAGAAATATAAAACAAGGGAACGGGATGGAAAGTTCAGAGATAACGCCACACACCTATGGTCACCTATTCTATGACAAAGGGGGCAAGAATATACAATGGAGAAAAGACAGTCTCTTTGATAAGTGAGGCTGGGAAAACTGAACAGCTACATGTAAACAAATGAAATTAGAACACTCCCTGACACCGTACACAAAAACAAACTCAAAATGTATTAAAGATCTAAATGTAAGGCTAGATACTATAAAACTCTTAGAGGAAAACACAGGCAGAACATTCTTTGACATAAATCGCAGCAAGATCTTTTTGAATCCACCTCCTAGAGTAATGAAAATAAAAACAAACAAATGGGACCTAGTGAAACTTTAAAGCTTTTGCACAGCAAGGGAAACCGTAAACAAAACAAAAAGACAACCCTCAGAATGGGAGAAAATATTTGCAAATGAAGCAACCAACAAAAGATTAATATCCAAAATATACAAACAGTTCTTGGAGCTCAATATCAAAAAAAACAACCCAATCAAAAAATGGGCAGAAGACCTAAACAGTAGATGGAACTGTCAGGTATTTCCTTTGGCCTAGGAGTGCTATAAAAAATGTGCTGAGATAGCCAGGGTCTGTAAGCCAAGCAAGGCTGGTAACTTCTGGCTTACCCCTCACCTTCCGTTTCCCTTTGGGACCCCTCTGCCGGCAGAGAACTTGCTTTCTGCTCTGCTCCTTTCACAGAGAGGATCTGGCGGTGCCCTGTACTACCTTTCTAGGAGGCCTAATCCTCAGGTCCAGTATCAGGAAAATTCTTTGCCCACAGATGTAAGCCACACTCTCCAGCATCTGCTTTATGACAAAGGAGATATGTTAAGTTTTCAAACTCTGACTTCTTTCTCTCTCTAAATTGCTTGTCCTCAGGCAGGATGAGACGTTTTCTATTGGGCCCTTCCTCAGTCCCAACAGAGGCAAGTCAAGGCCTCAGGCATTACAAGGCCACAGTCCCCATCTACTCACCCACCACAAGCCACCTCCAAGCAGGAGAGTTATGCCCTTAGTTTCACAGATTTGACCTTCAACAGAGGTTTACGAGCCTTTAAAATGACTACCCCAAACCAATCCTGACCTGCAATTCTACGTACCATAACACCAAGGTGTGGCAATGGCCATAGAAATGTGGCCTGAGGAAAGTATACTTGAGGAATTTATCATAAACATACACATTATTAGTAAACTAAATGTATGCAACTTTACAAAGTGAGGAACAAGTCCTTTTTGAAAAATTCTTTGGAACTAAATGTCTGAGATACAGTTTGACGTCTTGCTTACTGGCAATAAGCGCTTTACTCACGACAAATCTTAATTTGGCACAGTGACCTGCAAGAGCCCCCCCCAGCTCAGCCTCCAGGCACAGTGACCTGCAAGAGCCCCCCAGCTCAGCCTCCAGGCACAGTGACCTCCAAGAGCCCCCCAGCTCAGCCTCCAGGCACAGTGACCTCCAAGAGCCCCCCAGCTCAGCCTCCACCCAGCTGTGCTCCGGATCGGCCACAGTCACTTCACACGCTTTCCTGTCAAAATCTAGGGAGGACAGTTCGGTTTGCTTTCTCAATTTCTTGCCTTCAGAACTTTTTTTCTTTATTCATAGTAGAAGAATAAAGAAAAATAACCAACCAAACACATAAGAACATAAAATTTTTCTGAGAATCTCCCTTCCCCCTCCACCACCAGGAGGCATTATTCTCAGTCATGATGCCCAATTTCTCACCCTTTGCCAGGTCCTTTAGCTGGAAGTGGATGTACCTGGATTTTCATATAACTTCATTTAGTGAGTATTACTCATTATTTACACCACAGCTACTTCCCAAATGGACTTAAGGCAGCTCATAGTAAAACACAAGAGTTTATTTCTGTAACATCTACTTTCCTCCATAGAGAAGTGGTTTCAATTCATCAGCTATCTCGGTTCTTGAGTCTGCCAGAAACTTTCTATGACTACATGGCATATAAAGCATTTAAATAGAAATGGGATTAGGAGCATGTGGGCTGATGAAAAGAAGTCGAAAAGTCTGATATTTATGTTTCCCCGACCCCTCCAGCATAGAAGCTGCTGGGTGTCCCCAAAACTGTCACAGTCACTAATCTGATATCTATTTACTGACCACCTGTGTGAGACACTAGAGGAGCCAACAGTGTCCACCTCCCCAAGCTAGGGACAGACAGAGGGTGTCGTGTCCATACCTGGAAGCCTGTCACACTGAGCCCCACAGCTGTGGGCTGGGGACCGCAGGGGTCCCTGCAAGGGCTGGAATCCATGTGGAGTACATGAGCTTTGGCCACCATGATCACTTCAACCAGAACAGAAGTTTTGATTTTATAGGTTGGGTTTCTGAGTAGGACTTCATGCAGGAAAATAAAAGTTTCTGTTAAAAATGAGAGGTCTGAAAAAAATGAAATAAAATAAATAAAATGTCTGAAGATGAGGGGATTCAGTTTATGGAAAGCAATGGCTTGAAGGGTCTGCCTCTCTCTCTTAAAGGCCTTCAGCGGCTCACGTCTCCCTGGATGTGCATGAGGAATCAGACAACAGAGCAGAGCTTCTCAAAGTGCAGTCCCAACTGCTGGGACACACTTTAAAAATTAAGACTCCAGCCCACACTGCCCACAGCTCTGTGTGACCTGGATGGTTTTTTAAAGCATTGTAGAATTTGAGATCTATTCTACCACAGGATGTAAAATGTTAAAGAGACCTTTCCTGATGCAGTTCTTAGTGTGTTACTGGAGCAAG